ATAAGTGTAATATAATTTGATAATATTTCATTTTACTATTGTAGAAAAATTACGTGAATTAAATGCGAAACAAGAAAGCATGTATAAAATATCAGAAGAAAAGTTAGACGCAATAGAAAAACTCACAGATAAAGGAATAACCGAAGAAGTTAGAGCTAGCGCAGTTAGCGCGTTAAAAAGTCTTTTAGATTGGCCGAACAACATAGTGTTTCCAGCGCTTGATATAGCAAGGCTTACTGTACTTCTCAAAGAAGTAAACGACCATTTGTGTACAGAAGAATTACTGCCAATTATACGAAGACATATCAAACCCGACTCAACTCCATCAAATCAAATGCTCACGTTTCGACTAATAGCTAATATGTTCCAACACGAAAAAGGAGAAAAACTTGGTTTTAATTACAGAGATGAAATACTCGAATCTTTACTGAATCTGCAATTCCTTGGAAATAAAAATAATCAGGTATGTCATCAAATAATTATTGAACTATCAAAATAAGGCCCTCTGCGAGAGGCCTTAAATTGCACGAATGATTAAGATTATTTTATAAGTGCATATTTACATTTTTGATATAAACTACTTTTTTTATTTAGAAGTCTACATGAATCTATTAAAATGTACAATTTGCTCAGATCTTTCAATAATAGTTTAAATTGCTGTGCAATATATATTGAGCTGTTATTTTATTAGTCACGTGTGTTATTTTTTTATTCACACTTGTTTATAACGCCACGAGAACGGCAGAAGATTTGTAAAATGAAGTATTTCTTTCAGGTTGCAATATCGACTTACATATTGAATCTAATTGTAGCGCTAAATAAATATAATGATATGCCTGGTAGAACAAGAGCTTTGAATGTATTATTTACCATATTGTTACGCTTGAATGAACCTGAAGCGATATTCAGAGCTCTAGTTGGACTAGGAACGCTATTGGCCGCTACTTCGGATCCTAATGAACGTAACGAATTAATTAACACTGTGCGACAATCTGAATCTACTTTAAATGTACTTGCAACTTTTTCGGAAAACTCAACTGATGTCAGTACAACAAACAAAGTGGCAAATTGTTCCAAGCAGATCATTGATTTGGTTATTTCAAGTGTTTAAAAATATGTATATGTATATATGTGTGTGTGCGTGTGTGTGTATATATGTGTATATATATATATATATACATATATATATATATATATATATGTTTATATATTATAATACGGCATTATTTATACACAACGGTCATAAAAGCTTAGTTAATTGAAAAAAAAATTAGAAGATACTAATAATAAAACTGATTATCATTTAATTAAACTAGATTTTCAGAGATATGCTAATTTACTTCTGACAGAGATATCGGCCTGTAGCTTGAGATAGTTCGTACGGAAATTATTGAGCGGAAGAACCAGATTTAAAATTTTCACGAGCCGATTCCTCTTCAAAAAACGTATGACAAACCACCAAGATGTACATTTTCTCCTAATAAAAGTATCTTTAAGAACTTCTGATGATTCAAAGTCCACTTGTGGAGCTGTAGGCTCCTTATGCACGTATACACCGAAAGAAGAGAAAAATTGTTACAAAGTTCAAAAATTTGAAGGAAGTCAAGATTCAATGTAAAGCCATCGAAACGGATGGGATTAAAAACGTAAAGTAAGTTTGCACATGTATGTTTAATTCGGTTTGCTCAATCGTAAGTTATAGTAAAAAAATTTTTAACCAAAATACATTTTTTAATATTATTAATATTAACACCATATTGTGCCCTTCCATGTAATGTTATAATATTTACAAAACTATTTTGCGTATTTATATGTAATAATTATACACATACATGACAAAAATATTTAATTATATACGTAACAAAAATATTTAAACGCGCAATTATTTTGTCTACAAAATATGCAAAAGTACATTCAAATATATTACGTGGTTTTTAAGTATAAAATTATTCTGCACATGTATGTGTGTGTGTACACACACATATATACATTGTTTATTTACAAGACAGGAGACATTGAACTTTTCTTTAGACACATATCGTAATTTCTTAGCTAAAGTGTTGCACGAGTAAATATTTCGATGATATCTGAAGAAACTTATTTACTTAATTCGTATTAGGTATTCCGTACCACCAACATAAAAAGCAATTATTTGCAATTATACAGCCAGATTAATCAGTTTGAGATTAAGATCAAATTACGTATTAGAAAGAGATTTATAAAAAAAGATATATACTTTCATACACTTTAATTCCATTCCATTATAAATATTTCTTAAACAATCAGAATCAGTTTGTTGAAGATACCTATAATATGTATACTTTATAATATATATGTACACAAAATGCAAAAAACATTTTTTACATTGCAATTTTTATAATTGATTTTATCTTGAAGTAAAAGCGAAAAGTACAAAATTTACTTATTGTAGCAACATACTACAAGTACACATATTACAAGTAAAACTTAATATGTCTGTTACATTAAGATAATAAAAATTAAATAATTTACATTACTATATTATTATCATCATATCAGATGTAAACTGATGCATGCATTATCATGTTCTCAAATTGAGCCCAAAAAGTAAAAAGTTACTTGGAATGTAAATAATCTGCATAATAAGACAATATCGACTTTTATTTTTGTAGAGTTCAGGTAAGTTGTGTGTGTGTGTATATATACATATATACACATATACATATATATACATACATATGTATATATATATATATGTATATGTATAATCAAAATTAGTTAAAATATATACAACGTTTGAATATAAAATAATAATTTATATATATAATATACATAATATATTTGATTAAATTTTCTTGGGCATCGCGCACGCCCAGTAAACATATAACAGACAACAGTGTAATAGTAGAATATTATTAATACATTAACGTCAAATATATATATATATTTCCTTAATTGTATATCAATTTACTCTTGCGATAGGCAAAAGCTATTAATTACCATAACTCTTGCAGTTACTTATTACACCAAAAATAACATTCACTTGTATACACTCATATTAATTTCAATTATGCTCAATTAACTATATATATGTGTGTATGTGTGTGTGTGTATACATATATGTGTGTGTGTGTATATGTATGTATGTATGTACGTATGTATGTATGTGTACATGTACACACACACACACAATATATATAGTATATGTAGTTGTAGTAGTAGTGTAGTAGTAATAGTAGTACATGAAAGATAGTTACAAGTGTCAGGCCATTTCGGCTTGTTATGGGAATGTGAATGCATTTCTTCTTTTTTTCTTTACAAAAATAACTTTCAATATATATCTGAGATCTGTAAGATAATAGAAACAGTGCTGGTTCGTACAATTCAGAATTTGAATTTAGAGCGCGCTCAAGTTATTACACAATATACGTCTAGTATGTGTTTTTATACGAATACAAAGGCCCAATATTCTCATGTAAAAAAGTGTCTATATAAAAAATCCGAAGGACTAATGGTACTCCGATGCCAGCAGAAATGTAATGTGCAGGAACCATTATCTTGCAGATTTCTGTACGTAGCAATTGTCAACGAACCTGATTAATAAAAAAAGTGACACTGATATTTGAAGGCGTTACTTTAATCAAACATTCTTAATATTAATAACGCTAATTTTAACATTAATAATAAATCATCGCAGTGTAAGATTCTATCGTATAAGGTGCCAGCTCAGGTTGGCTGCTATACAACAGATTTTATAACAAGTGCATACAATATTCTTTCAATAATAATAATAATAATAATAATAATAATAATAATAATAATAATAGAGAAAATAGATAAGAAATGGGTTTCAATGTTATAAATAGGAATTCTTAGAACATGAAAAAAATGAATTTTTATAATAAAATGCAAATATCTCAAAATTAGATTTAAGTTTTTAAAATTGTGAAATAACGCCTTCATAGTCACTTCGCAGATAACTCGAATTCTGCTAAGCTCTCCTAACTCTGCCATATCTACCGATGACGAGCCTGACGTTTTCTCAGTGAGAGATTCGGAATGCCCTACAGAAATGCACTGATTCCTAAAAGTCCTTCCTTAAAGTTAAGTTAATTACTGGCATATGTACCTGAGGTGACGTGCATATACCTTTCTCAAAGATCAGAATGCATTGAGGCGATTATCCTTGGTGAGATAAGTCACTTCAATGTATGTCAAAAAACTACGTCAAAAATTACTCGTTAGAGTGTGTCCCGAGTTTTATTTCTTTTTTTTTACAAACTACCAGTTGAGTAAAATATTAGGAGCGGATTTAAGAAGTGGCTACGATCTTGTCCTTCACAGATTCCTTAGAAATGTTTTCGAAAGAAAATGTCAGTGTGTTTTTTAGAAATTTGTACGGACGTTACAATCAAACGTTTCTAACTCTTTCATTGGGAAAATTTGAATTTTTTTGACTGATAAAAAACTGCCTTAAATTCGCTCCTGTGTGTATAGAATCTCCCTTAATTTTGTACCCGGAACTTAGTATACTAAGCGTGATGTTTATCTTCGACTACTTGTGATTGCCTGGTGGGAAACTCGTCGTTTAGAGATTACTTCGCGCATAAAATATCGCTTGCAGTAAAATAAACACAGCCTCATTAATTGAAGGATTTTCGGGGGAAGAAGTATTAAAATATATATGTATATGTGTGTGTTTTTTAGTTCTCTCGAGGTATACGCGTTACGTCATACCTCGTGAGTATACAATGCCTGAATCCGATATATCTTGCATTTACAATCGTACATGCTTATACGTTTCTCGAAACTTGGAAGCATAACGTTAGAATGTATAATTATTACGATTACGCGACTTGTTGCGCGATGAGAAATTACGGAATCTCATTATAAAATACTTTCAGTGTACATTGCCACAATTCAGAAAAGAGGACGTCAAACTTAGCTTTTTTCTTTTTCACACAAATTGTTTTTTGTCTCAATGTAGTAATATCTACTCTCTTTATATTTACCCTCTCTTTCTCTCTCTTCAAATCCACCACACAATTATATCATATTCGTGATTCAACGACATAACGTAACATATCAAATTTTTTCGTAATCCAAAGTTTTAACAAGACGGACAAGCTTTACCATTTGCAGAATACAAATACTTCGCTTTATTATAACCAACGTATATGCTGAAAAGCTGATTGTTTAATAAAGAGAAAATAATTCTCTAATATTGACAATATATATTTTTTCTAAACATTTTATTTTTTAATCCTCTCATTCCTTATAAATTTATTATACTCTGTTAAAACATATTTTGCGAGTTCTTGATTCATTGCAATTCCGCCGCATACACTTATGCACACAACGTCACTGAGTATTGAACAAGTATATTGCAGTATATACAATTTTTTAGAATTATAACTTAATAAGAATTTAAATATTTTACATATGTTCTCTGTGTGTGTGTGTGTGTGTGTGTGTGTGTGTTTGTGTGTGTGTGTACATATATATATATAAGTACGTAACACATATATGAATACACACACATATATGAATACAGAGTGTTCAAACTATCAGAATAGATTTTATAATGGCAGATTCTCTGGAATATTCTGAGATAAAAACTCCAATACAATCACCGTATATTAGATTTGCAACTCTAACGTGACATCTATATTTACATTCACATTTTAAATTAGGGCTAATATAAATACGATTTTGCGATTTTTGTTATTTTTGTATTAGAAATTTTTGTCTAAGAATGGTTGCAGGAATATATCATTTAAGATCTTCATCGCGATAGTCTTGGAACAACTCTGTACAAGCTACATGATTATACTTGGAATGAGAGGTTTGAGAAGAAGAAACAAGAAAGTACAAAAGAAAAACTGTCGGCACACTAATGAACTTTGGATACGTCTAAAAGCTATATCTTGGTACATGTATTATATTCGCCAAAGGCGCTTAATATTCTATTCTATCTGCAGATATATCGGGAAGGAGAAGACAAACCATTTTCATAGTCGTCTTTTGCATTATCAGAATGATAAAGCGCGTTATCCCGTAACTATTCGGGGTTATCTTAAGATGACGCGTGCGATGGAGGGACCTAAAACTTGTATTGGGTCCCTCCAGGCCCGTCTCATTCGGCCGGTGTGCTCGCCGCCCACCTGTCAAACTCAATTCCTGAATCGGGACTCAGTCCCAGATCAATGGGGCTCAGAAAGCTGGGTGGCGGACAGTTACAAGGGCCGTCAGGTCGGCATGCTCCGATGCATCTCTGGTCATTACGTCGATTTCCCCCTCGATCTCTCAATTCCCGCTCAAAGCTGAGCAACTGCTCCATAAAGTGAAAATTGGGAGCGACGTTAGACTTTCTACTACGTACTAAGTTGAAAGCGTCATTCAGGCTGAGGCTGCACTTATGCATAAGGTAAGCTACGGTAATCGTAACAGACCGGGACACTCCGGCCAAACAGTGAACCAGCACTCCTTTGTCTGAACTCCGTGCTTCCTCTGAAAAATACGCGATAAATTGCAATTTTAATTCTAGAGTCATTGATTTAAAAGACTGCAATACATTTAATGTTCCATTTAATATTATTTAATTTAATATTATTTTCGCTTTTTTAATGATTTTTATGATTTTTTTATTATGCAAAAATATGCAGCAAGCTAATTTAATCTTTATCTTAAAGTATAATCTCCAATCATTTTTGTGATGCAATCTTTTACAATACCTTTGTATTAGAAAGATTAAAATCTGATATTGTTGTAAATTACGATAATATTGTATATTATAAAATACATGAAATTTACTTGATAATAATTTAATCTGTAATTAACGTGTTATTAATATATATTTTAATATATTATAAATGTCACGTAATTTTAGAAAATAATAATGAGAGGTGTTTTTTTCACAATATTATTAAATTAGATAGAGAGGTAGGAAAAATGGGCATTCTCATATATAAAAAATCATATATGATGCAAATCTAGCATCCTATATAAACTTACAAATTGAAATTTTAATTCAAAAATTCATGTGTATAATTTATATATATATATGTTCGTTTTGCACGACATCTAACGTTGGCTCTTATGAACCGATTTAATGTTAATAATAATAATAATAAAACTGAAGAAAACAATAGAATACAAATTTGTACGACAAATTCGTTTAAATGATGCTAACAAAAGGAAGTCGGCAGCACTAAAATATGTCGGAACAGTCAAAAGTGCCAGACCAGTTTAATAGCAATGCCAAGCCATTCAGACTTAAGTATAGCTCTCGACCTAACCGGACATCCGTTGTTTAATTGTCTAGCGCGGCTTGCCCGCCACGTGGGAAAGTTTCTATTTAGGCGAACCTATTTATAAAAATGCCTCTTTTCAGAAGCTTGCGCGCGGGGACTTTCTTAAACAGGATTTCCTGTTTAAGAAGCGGTCCGAACTCAAGAATTTGATGCGGAAAAAGCTTCGAAGTGCAATAAATAAAGTTTACGTCATTCGTACATTCTACCATTTCTCATTCCGAGTAGGATACAAGACGAACAAAAAACGATATAAAGAGAATTATCGCTCTCTTATTGATTTGTAATAAAAAAATTATTTATACTTTTCACCTTATTGATAAATGCAAACTATTGATTTTATAAATGTTATTTATGTGTGTTGTTATTATTATTATTAATTGTTGTTATTTATGTATAATTATTTGCAAATAGGTGTTTACTGATTTTGTACTGATACTGCATATTATAGATTGTTATTCAATTAGTTACGTGCGTAAGTTGAACACGTTATAACGTGAAATTATGACTGCGTCAAATATTATAAACTCCGGCAAGTGGAAAAATCCATTGACAAAAAAAAACACTCTATTGAAGTTACAAGAGTACACGAGATACAATTACTAGCTGAGAATTCTTTTTCATTTTATTTTCAAATTAAGCTTCTTTTTACGTGTATACTTTGTACAAGTTTCGCAAAAAAGAAGAATCTTTTTTTTACACAAAATAATAACATGTAAAAGAAAAACCGGTTCATATCTGAAAAAAAAAAAAAAAAAAAAAATACAAATTCCAAATTTATTAAATCTTATAATCAACGTAACTGAAACAGCCGGACACATATAATTTATTCTTTATTAACATTTTTTTTTAAATAAAAATATCTCGTAAAAATTGATATATGTTGACTTACCTATAAATTGAATCGCTTGCGGGAAGAAACTAGCTAAGTTTTGGCTCCAATGATCGCTTATTGGTATCTGCATATACTTTATCGAACCAACGCCTTCGAATACATTTGGTAAATCCGGTGTCACATTGAGTATATATTGTATTCTATGTCGCGCTAGAGCCTCACGATCCTCACTATTAGCCGCGTTACCGAGAAACAAATGAGGTAAAATTTCTACCGGGAAATCTTTATCTTCCTCAGGACCTGAAATGCAGAGAAACTTTGGTTGTTACACATCAGTTTCTGCTAACACTTTAGCATTAGCAATATTTTTTGTATTCTATCAATATATTTTTATATTATGTATACATACATATTTTTTCATGCAATTTTTTCTTGTTTATACAATACACATACCTAGGCATATATCTTGAAAATATGTACTCACCAACTGAATCACACGTGCTGTCACTATCAGAATCTGAATAAGACCTAGTTGGTGGCGTAGATATCCGAAGAGATCTAAGCCCCATTAATTCGCCATCATTATTGTCCTGACCTGGGGTACACTCACAACCAACTTGACTGCCTTCACACCATTCTGGATATCTATCTCTGAATGCGCCAAAACCACCTACAAATAAATAATAATAATAATAAAAGCTATAGTGTTTTACATTAATGTAAAAATTTTACGAAAATGAGATATTGTTAGAAATATTCTCAACATAGCTAATTTCTTAAAAGATAATTTTCTACATCACTTAAAACAATGACTTTGAGTAGTTACAAGTGAAACAGTAGAGAATTTATAAAAATAAATATTTTGTTATATCTCTTCAAAATAGGCAAATCGTCGTATTGTTTTGTTCTTATAATTAATGTTTCACATTAATGTGTTCATTCAGATTATTAATTTATTCATTTTTTATAAAATTAAATAATTGTTGTTAATTAAACGAAGTTAATAGTTAATTATCTAATACTACAATAATGTAATAGTTAGTGTTTATTATCTTGATTTAATTAATTTTTATAAGGTTTTAGAACAAACTATTGACGATATCCCCTTGCAAAGTGCAAAACATAATTAAAAAATAATTTTTATAGGATAAGTATTTTCCAAAAAAATTGTTTACTCGAAACTCTCACATGCAAAATATAAAATCATAAAAAGACACAAAAATTCTTCAACTTACTCTACTGCACAAAATTGAAAAAAAAAGGAAATACAAAACTACAGCTTTCAAATGATAAATTAATTACTTAAGATATAAATTGATATACACTCTAGATTAGTATCAAAATAAAAAATAAAATAAAATAATTTCTAAGATAGTTACTTATAATTTGTATTCAAAATATGTAATGCAAAAACTTTTACTTTCATATTTTTATTCATACTTTAAAAACACCAATTTCTAGTTTTGTACGTTTTTTTTTTTTTTTTTTTTATTCACTTTATTAACTTTAAAAGACTTCAATTTTTAAGTGTGTAAATTAAAATCTTCACTCAAAATCTATTTTAGTAAGTGAAATTAAAAACTTAAATGACAATTTAATAGACACAATATTTATATAATTCAATTTTTCTAGCATTTATTAGAAATATTATAAAATTGTAGAAAATGCATTTTTCACTACTGAAAAAGAACAAGAAATTAATGTTATTCTGTTCGTTATAATATTCGCTTTTTTTAAGAATAAACCAAAGCAATATATTAATTAGGTTTTCCTTTATAATTATATATAAATATATTTTCATAAAATATATTTTCATATAATTATAGACTTTCATTGTGTCAAATATATCATTGAACATAGGCCTAAAGCTTGATAAAGGCAGGCTATAGAATAAAGTGTCTGGCTCACTACTGGAATACCTCCCACATAAATCAATATTTCATTCACAACCAGACTCTGTGCTTCAGCTGTTACTGCTGAAAGCTTTTCTATGTCATTATTATTAGTGTTATCTGTGCACATATGTGCATACAATAAAATAATATAGATAGATAGTTATAATTAGACACTATTGTGTGATGTTTTAAATTTAAATTAAAAATCTTTGCTAAAATAACATTTACACAAACAGCTCAAGATATATTAAAATTAATTGTTAACAAAAATTTGATAATAATAGAACTATATTGATATAGAATTTTTATAGCTTTCTCATGTATTTATTATATTTGTATATGTAACATAAATATAACTAAAATTATTGATAGAAAAAAAGCAAAAAGTATTCTAAATAAGTTCTCTTATGTGTTTATACCTTGTATTAAATTGTCAATTATGTGATAATCAAACAATCTTATAATAAGAGTTAAATGATAGAGAAGAATTGACTTGTACTGTCATATAAAACTACATTTCTCACCAATTAAAATGGCAACTTTGCCTCCACTGTTTTTAAGTCTCCGGCTTAGAACTTGTATAGTTTCACCCTGATGGCCTGCAGGATCTGTAGAGTCACCAATTAATACAAATGTTCCTCTACTGTTCTCATCCCCGCACAGAAACATCTTGACTCTGTTTCTCAAGACCAGACATCTTATTGTGGCCAAAAGGTCCACCTTACCAGCAGCCAGTCTGCGTAACATAATGCTAGGTATGGTCAAAGGTACTGAGCCTCTTATGTGAGTATCAGAGAAGTCACAATTTGCTCTGCAATCCAAGATAAGCAGCTTGTTTGGACCATCTGGTGATCTAAGCTCTGTGAACAACCACTCTGGATCCACAAGGTCCTCTTCCATTGTATTACCTGGCATGTTGTGTCTTTCACTTATTTATACTATTCTCACACTTTTAATGACACTTTCAGCAGGCTTTTATCTCTTGGATAGCATTATCTTGCTCTATAAACAGCTAGCAAGCCCAACAATTCTTTCAATCTCACTGAGTCTTTTGCACAAAAATATTCTTCAGCCTCTACAGCATCAAACTCTGTAAGTCTCGAATACAAAATACTTGTGATAAACAATGCATATTATCACGGCTGTAATTAGTTGTCGTCGTTCCAAATAACTCTCGAATGCTTGATTTGACGTTGATACATCGACCCCTGAGCTGCAATGGTAAAACTGCGCTGGTCGTAACCGAGGAAGTCATCAGCCTTGTTGCGCGTCCTTCTCGAACAGAACCGTAATATATGTACATAAGCGCGCGACGATACAATTTGTAATGGATACAGAGTGCGTGTATAGAGTGTGTCCCGAACTCGTTACGAAGGTCTACTACGATTAATATTTACTGGATATGACAAAATGGCACTTTGAATTGAGTGGCGGAACGTGTTCCCCGGAGGTGTTTCGTCCGGAGAACGATTACGCGCGACATTCACCCGTCGACGGCGCGGCCCGACCAATCTCACGCGTTGCCATCATTTCCTGCGACACTACGCCTGTGTGCCTACTCCGTGTCTCTTTCCTCCTCGCACTCCGACGCTGCCTCCACCACTGCCAGTGCCGTTGCCGCCGCCGCCGTCACCGATGTAGCCGTTGTCTTCGTCGCCGTCCTCGTCGTCACCGTCGTTACTCTTGCTGCCTTTGCCGCCGCCAGCTCGTCCCGGTTATCGATCTCCTCGTAAATCAAGACGACGCGTCCAATTAACGGCACGGATGTGAAATGTTTACGCTCGCCGTCGCTCGTGAAATACATTTCCAATCATACATGATTGCCGCACTCTATCTCGCGCTCGACCCTCGGTGCTCAGCCAAGCTCGTTCCGACATCTCGACGCGACAGCAGCAGCACCAACGGCGATTCCATCCTTCTCGCTCACAGCACATTCGCGTTCGCTCCCGCCTTTAGAACGCAGCCAATTTCAGAATGTAGCTTTAAATCTTCGCGTACGCTACGAACTCGCGCGCGCACAACTTCACCCAAGAGAGAGAGAGAGAGAGAGAGAGATGTCCGTTTCCTCTCTATGTCTCTTTCTCTCTCCCTCTCTCACCTCACAAATCTCTTCAGCATCGCTCCAAGCCTGAATTTCTCTTCCACAGCAGATTTTCTTGATGAAGAAAACACATCCAAGTACGTCACATTAAAATTCTTCCTTCACTCGCGTTTTCTATCCTATCTTTCTTTGTTTTCCTTCTTTCTCTCGTGCTGTTTTCACGATTCTCCTAACTCGTGTCGCGCTCTTCCCACCGTAAGCCACACCTTACCTCTAGCGTCCCTTCGTCGAGAATGGAGCAGCAGCGCTCGGCGCGTCGCGCGCAGGGGGGAAGTACAGCCGCCGTGCAACGCGATTTGCCAACGGTCACGTGAGTTCACGGAGTCGACCAATCGTCGCGCGGGCTGACGTCAGTTCATTGACAAAAGATGTTTTCATTAACGAGGCGTGGGTAGTAGATGAGTCGGGGGGTCGGTGCTGACTGAGCCGTCGTTGAAGCGGCTGGAGTGGCTTCACGATGGGATGTCGGAGGGGAGCGCAGCGGAACCCACCGCATGTTACACGCGCACTCTCTCATCCGTGCGTGGGCGCACATTATCACAGCTCGTGCGAGAAAGAGAGATACGGCTAGTATATCCCTGCTCGTTTCGACGCTCACGCACACTCGCGTGCACGTGCTGCTCATCAACAGGGCCGACATAGGCGTATCCGTCACCCTACGTCGAGATGTTAGTTCCTTCTCTCGAGAGAAAGAACCGAACTCTATCTCCCGTCTCTTTCAATCGAATCAATACCGCCATTTTCCTTCTGTTAATTATTTATTATATACATGTGCACGCGTAAGTAGCTCTTCCGTTCGCGAATATTAATTGTTATTGATTCTCAATTTATCATAATTATGATACATCCATTCATTTCGCGACGTTGTCAGAGATCAATTGAGAGATTACTGTCACGGTAATTTATGTATAAATATTATAATATTTGTACGCGCATTATCACATGTAACTGTCTGTTCCTAATCGATAAGTCACGATATCGCGTTACGCGGTTGCGTAATAGTATCGACGTCTTCACGTAGTACAAGCCTAAGCTCGTTGCATGTAATACTATACATATATACTATATATAATATTCACTAACGATTCCCCAGATATATGACAAAACAATGACCTCACGAGATCAATCTTGGCTTCATGGAAATACGTATAGACATTCTACGTAAGTTTGCATTAAAAAAATAAACACGGACGATTTTTAAGACGTAAACACTTTTGCATTATAATAATAGTTATAATACAATTACGACACTAATTATGTATACAGAAAGAAAAGAGAGAGAGATTTGTTGTTTTTCGATCATAAAAATCTAAAGAAAAAAATACATAGCTGGAGAAGGTACATATATTAAGAGTGCGAATGTTTAATAATAATATTGAATAGAAATCCCGATAATATTGAAATTATTAATTAATTAATTTATGCTGCAGCTCGCTATTTTATATATTATTAATTGAAATATATTACAATCATGCACAACACATTATCCAGAAACATATCGTCTCACTGATAAATGTTTATGTTGGATAATATTATAAATTATTTGTGCGTTACATGCCTTATTGCGATTACTCTCTATTAACATGAAGACAAAACACATGTAATATAAATTTCTATTCTGTGTGTATATTTAATATTTTATATTTCTCTGCAGAATGTTTAAGGTAATTATTTTCTTTCGAGATGTTTGTTTTTCAAAATCAACACAATAAAAAATCTTTTCAATTTTTACCAAGAAACAACATCCACAGCTCATTAAACACGTCTATTACCGGATACAATATATTATGTATGCTATACAAGCACAGTTGAAGGGCTTAAAGTAAAGTACGCGAGAGGACGTGCCAGCGAGTAATACGGCCTTGGCCCTAGCCGTTTACGCGGGTCTGTCCTCGGACTCACCCGTTCACCACGCTCGGCTCGGCTCGGCTGGGCTCGCTTATCGTTCTCTCTCTTTCTTTCTCATTTTGTCAAGAGGGAACGACAGCCTATCAGACGACCGTGCCAAGCGTGGGTCGGCATTCCATTCATTTGGACGGTTGTCGTTGAAGATTTTCACGTTCGATCACGCGGCGACCGCTGCTTTATCGCGCTTAAGCGCGCGTTACCCCTTTCAAGAGCAACTGCGAGGGTTGAAAGAGACGAATGTAGGCATAGCGGAGAGAAAAGCGGAAGCTCGAAGGGCGGAATAAAAAGGATGGGGAAAACCGGGACAAAGAGCAAAGACTGATAGAGATGGAGAGAGGGAGAAAAGAGGAGGTTAGGAAAGAGCGTCTGTGACCTTCCACACCAACTCTCTTTTTTTTTTAACGCACATCAACAAATTGAATTCAACTCGCGTGGGTGCTGGATAAAAGGTAAGCACCCGGTATTACCCTTCCGCGCGAACGCGAGCGTTTCTTCTCTTACACGCATCAATGTCGCTCAGAGTGTGAAGGCTTTAACGTTAAAGTCAAAGAGGGATGTCCGTTTGTTCGCGATGAGAAAATGTCTATTCGAGAATTTTGTGATTTTTAATATCGATTTCCAGTATGATCGACTTTCAGTGACTCATCAAATGTTTTTGTATAAAAAGATGAGAGATAAAAATAAATAACTACGATAAAATATATCTATTTTGTGACGAATAGTTTTTTTTTTTCACACAAAAATTTCTGCTAAAACTAGGATTTCTTGAAATATTTTGTCTTTATATCATATCTACGCATATCCTTCCAGAACGGAACAGACTTTCAAAGGAATGTTACGTTAAGATGTAAAGTAGAACTCTTATATGAAGACAAAACAAAGTTCGTTCTTTTTCTATCTTTATATATGTATATGGAACACACAATTATCATCTCTTGTTCTATTTTTTGTCACTTTGAGATATATTTATTCTCTGCAAATTTGGCTTAAGAGATATATAGAGATATATTCTTCTATCGCGATTACTACGCCCTCATACATTTGTGACGTATGTAACCGTTGCTAATACGTGTAGTAACAGCGCAATATCTCAATCGTGACCTTTTCGAAAATAAAGTACTCTCACTTGCTATCTGATGTTAAGTTTGGCAATAACATTTTTGCTTGTACAACGAATTCTGATGTGGGCGACCACGAATGTAAATGATCGCTTATAACGCGATAGTTCGAAAGTTTGAACAAATGAAGAACTTCGTGCAAAGTGACACCTGCGATTTTTATGTTTATGCCATAACTGGCTCGCGTTACAAATATCTCATTTCAAGACTAATTCAGATATATGAAATAAAATATGATAATGCTTGCTTCGTATTATCATTTCCATTTTGAATGACATTTCAAAGTCGCTAATAGGTTAAGAAATATTTATAGACCACATTTTTACAGGAGAAAGGCACGTTAAGATCTAAAAACGGAGCTGTTACACAACTATGACAAGATCGATGACAATGTATGATTAGCATTGAAATCACAACAATGGATTTTATTGTTTAAAAAATGTTTTTTAGTTTTGTATTTTTTTTTGTATACTTACGGAAATTTTCTCTTCACGTGTCATTTCAAAGCGATCTTCAACGCTCTTGTAAAAGAACAATGTATCTCATCAATTTATCAATCGTTTAATAATGTTGACGCTAAGTCGCGAGAATAAGCAGTTCATTGACTTTAAGATAAACTCATACGTAACTCGTGCGCGATCCAGTAATCAAACTTTCGGTCACTGAATCGAATCGATCCTTGCTCATTTCTACGAAGCCGCCGCTTTCTATCATAGTAGAATAGCATACAGTAGATATTAAACCTAATTAAGCGGTAACGTTGCGAACTGAATTACGTAAGATTAACGAATCTCTGACTAGATGATCATGAAATGTGATTATTAACAGTGGAACATTCTTTTCTGTATTATTGTTATAACCGGTTTCTAATAAATCTAGTGACAAACAGATATATTTAAACAGATTAAAAATATCCATATAAATTGATTCAGTGTAAAATCTGTATTTTTAAAAATATCGAGACTTTTTTTACGACTTGTATCAGTAAAAATTAGAGTTTACACTTTAGGGAGTGAGCACTGATTCCTTCTTCTCCCCCTCCGCTCCCCCCCCTCCCCCCGACATAAAGAAAATTTAACTTTGATGATCTTTAGAGTTGAAACGTTCAAATATTATAACAACTTTAAGTTAGGTAATAAATAACACATATCAAGCTGAGCAATTTTTCACGCAAAAAGTGAGTCATTTATATTATTTTCGACATTATAAAATAGAGAAAGTGAATAAATAATAGATGTGAACATTGAAATCAGTGCTCTGTGCCAAAATGCATACTCCAGTTGGCTCTCAGTGAGATGCCTGTTGTACTACTTCTCTGATACTAACCAGAAATCGAGGAAGAAAGTTTTCGGTGTATAATGCGTAACTTTGTTTATAAATAGCGTTGTAAAGTATGTATATGTGTATGCGCGCGCAGCTATCGCACACTACGCTTGCGTCACAAAAAATCGCCGCGCGTCAGATCCGAACTTATCATAAGATAAACACATACAAAACGAAAGAAAAATTGTGCGCGCGAACGTGCAAGCATCGGTTACAACGATAATGCGTACGGTGTGGGTTGACGTAAGCGATACCTGCCTGCTGATGACCTTAACAGGTGGGCAAATCCTTAGCAGGCATTATTTCGCGATGCAATCGGAGGTCTTGGGAGCGCTAGTGTTACACAATCAGAATTTCGCAAGTAGATCTGAACTCTGCAAAAGAACGCGTAGCATTTTTCTTCACAGACTTACGTTAAAACATGAGAAAATTACTACGTGGGCAACTGAAACATATAATTTGATAAAAAGTATAAAATAAAAAGACATTGATAAAGACTGCATCACTCGGTGTAAATCTTTTGCGTTAATTGTTAATCAACGAGAAATTGAGTGACTCTGAAGAATTTCTTTATACAAACGATTATTCTCTATTCGAGTCTATCGATGTTATTTACTCTAACGAATAGACAACGCAAGCAAGGTCGATGGAAGCTATAACTGCGGTCTCGTAATGTATTACGATTCCGCTTATGTGTGTCCCAGCTCTCGAACGCTCGTGTTTCATTCATTGTCACACAAGGAAACATAATGCAGCAAAGAATTATTGGCCTACGACACGTCTCATGTGTATGGCCGCGCGCGCACGCTAGGCTAGGTAAGATGTACACATAGTAGTATTTCTACTCGTAAGTCCATTCAGTCATTTCCGTTGACATACCGTTACGTTCTA